TAGGCACTTTTCTAAGTATATAATATTATTAACAAAACTTGTAAAAATTATTATAAATAATACTTGTAAAAAGTAGGGAGTGTTTGGCATAACGTATAAAAGTACACTTATTTAGATTACATCATCTCTCTACTTTTCTGCATATTTTTTCATAAAAAGTCAAAAAATATACTTATTTAGATCATCCAAATAGTTTTTTACAAAGGAGTTTTTCAATTTTTTTATATATTTTTTTATAAAAAATTAAAAAATATACCTCGAAGATCCTAAACCAATGGGCATTGATATCACTAATATATATATATGCACCTATTTATTAGTAGTAACGTACACCCCTCTCCTCCTAATGAGCTAATAGCACCTATTTAGGCCTCGTTTGGGAACATGCTAATTTAGTAACTTTTTGGCTATTTGGCTAAAAAGGTAGGTAAAAAAAATTTGTATGTTTGGGATGACTTTTTGGCTAATTACGAAAAGATGTGCAAAAAGTAGAGAGAAAAGAGAATCTTTAACTTTTTGGTATGGATTGTTGACTTTTTGACTAATTTAGTAACTTTTTGGCTAATTAGCTAAAATAGCCTCTCGCCAAACGAGGCCTTATTGGTAGTAATTGTACACCCGTCTCCTCCTGATGAGCTAAGGGACTGCTATAATGATGAGATCCACCAAGACCAGTGTGGGCGTGAGTTACTAATTCTAAAATTTTATTTATACTTCAAGCTTTGGTTGGTGTGAATAAATAGGACTTGGCCACGTTGGGCCATTATTTTATTTTATTTTTTTGGGTATACAAATATGAGATAAAGATGTTTTTAGAAGAAAATAGAAAGTCAATTTTTAACTTTTTTTATCAATTTTGAGTCATATTACCTCTTATATTTTTTATTTATAAAAAGATAAAATAGATTAAAAAAGTCAAAATTAATTTTTTATTAACTTTTTAAAACACTCCAAAAGTGTGAAACTATAAGGGGAATTCACATGTGATTGTTCAGATACTTTTGAGTTATACTAGAGAGCTAAATAAATTATTAATTTTTTTAATAATAGCTATTTTAGAAAGATGGTTAAAAATTATTTTTTGGTTAAAAGATCATTAAAAGTTGATTTATATGAGAGAGTGAAGTAGATTATAATCTAAGGAGTAGATTATAACTTACTTTTCAAAATAGTCTTAAATCTCTCGTACGAGTATAGAATTTATATACATGTAATTTGTATAGATCTTACATCTGTAATTTGTAATTTGTAATTTATATAGATTTCTCTTATAAAAAGTCAAAAAAGTTAAAAGTCCTTTTCAAATCAAGCTTTTTAATCTTAGGTTAAAAAAGTCAAAAAATTAAAAAATCAATCCAAATGAAAAGCAACAGTTTTGTCCTAAAATTTTAAGAGACAATGACTTCATTTGGCAAAGTCAGTTAGGGTTAAAATAACTATTAAAAGATAAAATAAATTAAAAATTAATAAAATAAAATATCATATCAAATTATAATTATTTTATGGGTAAATTACAGTTGCCTCCCCTGAGGTTTATGACAAATATAGGGACCTCTCCTGTGGTTTGAATAATTACAGTAACCTCCCCTACTTTACCTGACAATATCAAGATTCCCCCCTGCTGTCAAAAATCACTAAACGGTGTTACTTTTTCCTTAG